ATAAGAACTTCACACTACAACATATCCAGACTAATGATACGAGCTTCACACTACAATATATCCAGACTAATGATACGAGCATCACACTACAACATATCCAGACTAATGATAAGAGCATCACACTACAACATATCCAGACTAATGTTAAGAGCATCACACTACAACATATCCAGACTAATGATAAGAGCTCCACACTACAACATATCCAGACTAATGTTAAGAGCATCACACTACAACATATCCAGACTAATGTTAAGAGCATCACACTACAACATATCCAGACTAATGATAAGAGCTTCACACTACAGCATATCCAGACTAATGATAAGAGCTTCACCCTACAACATATCCAGACTAATGATAAGAGCTTCACACTACAGCATATCCAGACTAATGATACGAGCTTCACACTACAATATATCCAGACTAATGATACGAGCATCACACTACAACATATCCAGACTAATGATAAGAGCATCACACTACAACATATCCAGACTAATGTTAAGAGCATCACACTACAACATATCCAGACTAATGATAAGAGCTCCACACTACAACATATCCAGACTAATGTTAAGAGCATCACACTACAACATATCCAGACTAATGTTAAGAGCATCACACTACAACATATCCAGACTAATGATAAGAGCTTCACCCTACAACATATCCAGACTAATGATAAGAGCTTCACACTACAACATATCCAGACTAATGATAAGATCTTCACACTACAACATATCCAGACTAATGATAAGATCTTCACGCTACAACATATCCAGACTAATGATAAGATCTTCACACTACAACATATCCAGACTAATGATAAGATCTTTACATTACAACATATCTAGACTAATGATAAGATCTTCACGCTACAACATATCCAGACTAATCATAAGATCTTCACACTACAACATATCCAGACTAATGATAAGATCTGTACATTACAACATATCAAGACTAATGATAAGAGCTCCACACTACAACATATCCAGACTAATGATAAGAGCTCCACACCACAACATATCCAGCCTAATGATTAGAGCTCCACACTACAACATATCCAGACTAATGATAAGAGCTCCACACTACAACATATCCAGACTAATGATAAGATCTTTACATTACAAAATATCAAGACTAATGATTAGAGCTCCACACTACAACATATCCAGACTAATGATAAGAGCTCCACACTACAACATATTCAGACTAATGATAAGATCTTTACATTACACAATATCCAGACTAATGATTAGAGCTCCACACTACAACATATCCAGAATAATGATTAGAGCTCCACACTACAACATTTCCAGACTAATGATAAGAGCTTCACACTACAACATACCCTAACTAATGACAAGAGCTTCACACTACATCATATCCAGACTAATGATAAGAGCTTCACACTACAGCATATCCAGACTAATGATAAGAGCTTCACACTACAGCATATCCAGACTATTGATAAGAGCTTCACCCTACAACATATCCAGACTAATGATAAGAGCTTCACACTACAACATATCCAGACTAATGATAAGAGCTCCACACTACAACATATCCAGACTAATGATAAGAGCTTCACACTACAACATATCCAGACTAATGATAAGAGCTTCACACTACAACATATCCAGACTAATGATAAGAGCGCCACACTACAACATTTCCAGACTAATGATAAGAGCTCCACACTACAACATATCCAGACTAATGATAAGAGCTTCACACTACAACATTTCCAGACTAATGATAAGAGCTTCACACTACAACATACCCTGACTAATGATAAGAGCTTCACACTACAACATATCCAGAATAATGATAAGAGCTTCACACTACAGCATATCCAGACTAATGATAAGAGCTTCACACTACAGCATATCCAGACTAATGATAAGAGCTTCACACTACAGCATATCCAGACTAATGATAAGAGCTTCACACTACAGCATATCCAGACTAATGATAAGAGCTTCACCCCACAACATATCCAGACTAATGATAAGAGCTCCACACTACAACATATCCAGACTAATGATAAGAGCTTCACACTACAACATATCCAGACTAATGATAAGAGCTTCACACTACAACATATCCAGACTAATGATACGAGCTTCACACTACAATATATCCAGACTAATGATACGAGCATCACACTACAACATATCCAGACTAATGATAAGAGCATCACACTACAACATATCCAGACTAGTGTTAAGAGCATCACACTACAACATATCCAGACTAATGATAAGAGCTCCACACTACAACATATCCAGACTAATGTTAAGAGCATCACACTACAACATATCCAGACTAATGTTAAGAGCATCACACTACAACATATCCAGACTAATGATAAGAGCTTCACCCTACAACATATCCAGACTAATGATAAGAGCTTCACACTACAACATATCCAGACTAATGATAAGATCTTCACGCTACAACATATCCAGACTAATGATAAGATCTTCACGCTACAACATATCCAGACTAATGATAAGATCTTCACACTACAACATATCCAGACTAATGATAAGATCTTTACATTACAACATATCTAGACTAATGATAAGATCTTCACGCTACAACATATCCAGACTAATGATAAGATCTTCACACTACAACATATCCAGACTAATGATAAGATCTTTACATTACAACATATCAAGACTAATGATAAGAGCTCCACACTACAACATATCCAGACTAATGATTAGAGCTCCACACCACAACATATCCAGCCTAATGATTAGAGCTCCACACTACAACATATCCAGACTAATGATAAGAGCTCCACACTACAACATATCCAGACTAATGATAAGATCTTTACATTACAAAATATCAAGACTAATGATTAGAGCTCCACACTACAACATATCCAGACTAATGATAAGAGCTCCACACTACAACATATTCAGACTTATGATAAGATCTTTACATTACACAATATCCAGACTAATGATTAGAGCTCCACACTACAACATATCCAGAATAATGATTAGAGCTCCACACTACAACATTTCCAGACTAATGATAAGAGCTTCACACTACAACATACCCTAACTAATTACAAGAGCTTCACACTACATCATATCCAGACTAATGATAAGAGCTTCACACTACAGCATATCCAGACTAATGATAAGAGCTTCACACTACAGCATATCCAGACTATTGATAAGAGCTTCACCCTACAACATATCCAGACTAATGATAAGAGCTTCACACTACAACATATCCAGACTAATGATAAGTGAGTGAGTGAGTTAAAATTTAACGTCGCATCGGCATTATTTCAGCCATATAGCGACGAGACCAAGCTAATATATACACAATTTAGTTATTTATACAATGTCATATTTAAAAACAATTGATGACAATTAATGGACAGAGCCTTTAATAATGTCAGTTGCTAATAGCATAATGATAAGAGCTCCACACTACAACATATCCAGACTAATGATAAGAGCTTCACACTACAACATATCCAGACTAATGATAAGAGCTTCACACTACAACATATCCAGACTAATGATAAGAGCGCCACACTACAACATTTCCAGACTAATGATAAGAGCTCCACACTACAACATATCCAGACTAATGATAAGAGCTTCACACTACAACATTTCCAGACTAATGATAAGAGCTTCACACTACAACATACCCTGACTAATGATAAGAGCTTCACACTACAACATATCCAGAATAATGATAAGAGCTTCACACTACAGCATATCCAGACTAATGATAAGAGCTTCACACTACAGCATATCCAGACTAATGATAAGAGCTTCACACTACAGCATATCCAGACTAATGATAAGAGCTTCACACTACAGCATATCCAGACTAATGATAAGAGCTTCACCCCACAACATATCCAGACTAATGATAAGAGCTTCACACTACAACATATCCAGACTAATGATAAGAGCTTCACACTACAACATATCCAGACTAATGATAAGAGCTTCACACTACAACATATCCAGACTTATGATAAGAGCGCCACACTACAACATTTCCAGACTAATGATAAGAGCGCCACACTACAACATATCCAGACTAATGATAAGAGCTTCACACTACAACATATCCAGACTAATGATTAGAGCTCCACAATACAACATTTCCAGACTAATGATAAGAGCTTCACACTACAACATACCCTGACTAATGATAAGAGCTTCACACTACAACATATCCAGACTAATGATACGAGCATCACACTACAGCATATCCAGACTAATGATAAGAGCTTCACACTACAGCATATCCAGACTAATGATAAGAGCTTCACACTACAACATATCCAGACTAATGATAAGAGCTTAACACTACAACATATCCAGACTAATAATAAGAGCTCCACACTACAACATATCCAGACTAATGATAAGAGCTTCACACTACAGCATATCCAGACTAATGATAAGAGCTTCACACTACAACATATCCAGACTAATGATAAGAGCTTCACACTACAACATATCCAGACTAATGATAAGAGCGCCACGCTACAACATATCCAGACTAATGATAAGAGCTCCACACAACAACATATCCAGACTAATGATAAGAGCTTCACACTACAACATATCCAGACTAATGATAAGAGCTTCACACTACAATATATCCAGACTAATGATAAGAGACCAGTGAAGATTCCGGGGTAGAATAGGTCTTCAGCAACCCATGCTTGTCTTAAAAGGTGACAATGCTTGTCGTAAAAGGCGACTAACGGGATCGGGTGGTCAGGCTCACTGACTTGGTTGATGCATGTCATCGATCAAAATTGTGTGGACCGATGATCATGATATTAATCACTGGATTGTCTGGTCCAGACTCGATTATTTACAGGCCACCGTCATATAGCTGGAATTTTGCTGAGTGCGGCAAACACACCAACCAACCAACCAACTGATGATAAGAGCTCCACACTACAACATATCTTAGTCATATGTACTTACTTGAGTATATGTCAGTAGCATTGCAAGGGCCAGGATAACGATCAGTGCGCCATGCTGGGTGCACAGGAAAGCCTTACGCAACGGAAAATAGACCGCAACTAGTCTCTCAAGCGCCATACACACTATGAGCCATGATGACATCAAATAGCACATGTGTTCGTAGAAGTTGTGAATGCTGCACGCAAGGTCTGAGAATCCAGCGTAAAGTCCCGTATCTCCTGCGTATTCCCGAAGTTCATGAACCAGAAGGATCTCCCTGTTGATGAGAGTGAGGCTGTCAAACACAGCCAAGGCACACAGGAAATGGCTGTAGGACTTATGTCTCCATGATCTCGTTTTCATCACGACGAAAGAGAGGCTATTACCGCCGAAACCTATGGCCACTATAATAGGAGTGAGGATCTGCTTCATCCACCACGCCCATCTGTCATTGGGTTCAGACGCCACAGACCACGGAGACGCTAAAACATATAGAGAAATATAATGAATGCACGCTTGTGAAGAAAACGATGTTCTGTTCGTTACTTTTGTTGGTTGGTTTGTTGTTTAACGCCGCACTCAGCAATATTCCAGCTATATGACGGGGGTCTGTAAATAATCGCGTCTGGACCAGACAATCCAGTGATTGACATCATGAGCATCGATCCACGCAACTGGGATCGACGACATGCATCAACCAAGTCAGCGAGCCTGACCACCCGAACTGGTTAGTCGCCTCTTGCGACAAGAATAGTCGCCTTTTGTGGCAAGCATTGGTTCAATATTACTAACGAAACATATTTTGGTGAGGAGCTGGGATGTTTTAGACTGTCTGAACCAGACAATCCAGTGAAAACCACATTTCTTACATCTCAAACTGATTCAACAGGGTAAACATACACATCTTAAACATATTCAACGAGGAAAACATACCCATCTCAAACACATTCAACGAGGAAAACATACCCATCTCAAACACATTCAACGAGGAAAACATACCCATCTCAAACAAATTCAACGAGGAAAACATTCACATCTCAAACACATTCAACAGGGAGAAAATACCCATCTTGAAAACATTCAACAGGGAAAACATATATTTTAAACACATTCAACAGGGAAAACATATATTTTAAACACATTCAACGAGGAAAACATACACATCTCAAACACATTCAACGAGGAAAACATACCCATCTCAAACACATTCAACGGAGAAAAAGATACATGCCAGACAAATTCAACGGTAAAGTAGATGCATCTTTAAGAAAAGGAAGAGGAATGTACATACACATATCAAACAACTTAAACTGGAAGATATATTCATCTGAAACACATTCATCAGAAAATATATCTCAAACAAATATTAATATATACATCACAATCACTACAGCTGGAAACTACATCCACGCTCAACGTTAAATACAACTAAGCACATTCAACGTCAACATAAAACAAACTAACAACAATCACTCACTTTAAACAACACTTAAATGTGAAAACTGCCTTTCATAATATTATGAATACAAAATGCCATTTAGAAAGTGGTCAGATGTAACAAATGTTAAATTAGGGATAACACTTTCTTCGGACTAGTGTTTGTTTTTTGTTTGTTTTTTTAGTGATTTTTGTTTTGTTTGTTGTTGTTTGTTTATGTTTTGTTTTTGTTGTTGTTTTTGGGGGAGTCTCATCTGGGATTCGAACCCACACTCTCAGAATGAGGCACCTAATGGTCATATTGTGAGTAGATACCACATGATTTGGTTGGTTGGTTTGTTGTTTAACGCCGCACTCAGCAATATTCCAGCTATATGACGGCGGTCTGTAAATAATCGAGTCTGAACCAGACAATCAAGTGATTAATATCATGAGCATCGATCCACGCAATTGGGATCGATGACATGTATCAACCAAGTTAGCAAGCCTGACCACCCAATCCCGTTAGTCGCCTTTTACGACAAGCATAGTCGCCTTTTACAGCAAGCATGGGTTGCTGAAGACCTATTCTACCCCGGATCTTCACGGGTAGATACCACATGAAACCATAATAGTCACAACGAAATTGATGATCTTCATTTGTTTGCACCAACAATATAACGTAACATATTTTATAACACTTGTGATATCTACTTGCAATACTCCTGAACAGTCCTCTCAAAATTCAAATAACAAAATGACAATAACATTTATTGTTGCAATGTAACATCTCCGTCCATAAATATTCCTAAATTTTTATTTCCTGTACACTGTTATTTGGGTTGGTTTCAAGATTAATTTGTTAGGTCGCTTGCACTTCCTTGTCAATAAACACGCTGTTACATGACACGGAGGAAACACACCAGACAATGACGTAGTGGGTACAGATCTCGCGTCTTTATTGCGTTTATTACAGAATAAATAAATTGAAATAAATTCCCTGGCGTTTGATTGGCTAACCAACAAATTTCTTGGCTTAAATATTTCCATAAACCAAAAAACAGTTAGGCCGTGCCCACCTTTGAACTAATGATTCCTGATTGGCTGATAATAGAATAGGCGGGGCTTGTATTGCATTATTGCGCAGCACGATATCACTGGTTTCGCACTGTAATCTACAGTTCTGTGTGTGTTAAGCATTTAATAAGCAGCTTGTAAAGCAAATATTGTTGACTATATTCATTTATCAAAATTGATTTGGTGATGAAACTCATTAATTACTTATATGCCCCTACTTTCAACTATGCAAGACCTAATTATAAAGTGAAATAGCTTCTTGAACACAAGTAATATATTAGAATTTCAAATCATGTCATCTCCATTTATTGCTATTTTTTTAAAAGCACGTACTTATATCATTGTTTGTTGATTACTTCGACTTTCCTATCACACCTCCACGTGTCAGTGACATCCTTATTTTAAATTTGTATTTATGTCACCCTTCATTATTTGTTTGATCTGAAGCTGTAATAAAGTGAATGGGCTGCACTCGTGGTATTTTCAATCCGTCCTTATCCCTTGCCTCTCCTCGCACCTGGTGTCAAGAACATGTATGTCCCCATGGTCCCCAGCGAGGTGGCCTAGCCTTGGTTACTGGTGGCCTATTGCCCGTGTTTATAACTGTATACGGGGCGGTCGAGTAGCCTAGTGGTTAAAGCGTTCGCTCGTCACGCCGAAGACCCGGGTTCGATTCCCGACATGGGCACAATGTGTGAAGCCCATTTCTGGTGTCCCCCCCCCGTTATATTGCTGGAATATTGCTAAAAGCGGCGTAAAACCATACTCACTCACTCACTCACTATAACTGTATACATGATATTGTTATGCTCAAATATGTTTCATAAATTGTTTATATAAATTTAAATATATCTTTGCATAAATAACTCAAATGTGATTACACTGACCTGGTCTCGTCGCTATATGGCTGAAACGTGGCCGATGTGACGTTAACTCTTAACTCACTCACTCACTGGTGTCAAGAAACTCATCCTAACCGATTACATCTAAAGTGGCAAAGTTTGGACGCATGGCGATAGCATGCAGGAATGAGTGTGTACGTACAGGAAATCCATCACGGCTAAGAAGGCTCAAGACGTGTGACTGGCATGGGAGTTTGGTTTCACGCCTCTTTCAGTTATATCAAGGCGTGACAGTTCAATGTGGAAGGAGTGAGTGAGTGAATTAAAATTTAACGCCAAATTTTCAGCCATATAGCGACGAGACCAAGTTAATATATTTACAATTTAGGTATTTTTGCAAAGTTTTATTTAAAAACAAGTTGTGAAATATATTTGAGGATCAATGTGGAAGGAAAGCCAGAGATGCCTGTCAGCTTGATGTAGTTGAAGGGTATGGTGTTGATAAACCTGGACGGTGTGTGCGTGTGTGTGTGTGTGTGTGTGAATGTGTGTCTGTGTGTGTGCGTGCGTGCGTGCGTGCGTGCGCGCGCGCTTGTACTAGTCCAGACTAATGCTGCTTTTATAGTGCAAGTCCACTAAGATACCATGCCCCAGTTGAACACGAATATCCCACTCAGACACAGTAAAAATCCTGGACCCTCCTTTCTCCAGGCGGACGCTCTACCTCTAGACCAGGGAGGCGGTCCGATAAACCTGCAGCCTAGGCGAAGAGCGGTGTCTTGGAACACTGAATGACCCTGTTTTTTAATCAAAGAAAAAGGTAATATTCTTCTTTTCTTCATGATGAAAGTGAATTTGGATTATCTAGTATCGCGTGTAAAAGGCTGATGGCACTTTCCCGAGATGTTATAATGTTATAACAATAGGAATCCTTTAAGAACCACAAAATCCAAAAGAAGACTGGTTTCCCAATATCCCCACAGGGGGTCAAGGACAGAGGTATCGTTTCAATATCACAAGTCAAAAGTAACCGTGCTGATATAGACTTTTGATAACAAAACAATTGACTATTGATAAATAAATGACAGTGCGATGCGCTAAAACCTTGGAACAAAAATTGCTTTTTCCAGACAAAATAATGTTTTGTTGAATGATGGGGCTACCTTCAAATAGTCAAGTTCCCTGTCGAGCAATTTACCAACGGCCGGGGGGGGGGGGGGGGGATGGCCCAGTTGTCTTAAGCGATTCGCTGTGCAGAGTTGCGTCACTTGGGCACGCCAGAAACCTATGATTGTGGGTTCGAATCCCGGTTTGCCCCGATTATGTTTCTAGGTTTGTAAGCACCATACCCGTGCTCGATGGTTCACCGAGGTGGTAAACGTCTGTGACCTGCATCACTTCGGGCTTTCCTCCCACATTAAGCTGACACGCCGTGATATAACGAATAATGTTAAAAGCGGCGTTAAACCCAACTCACTCACTCACTCACATCGCTTGAAGTACAATCGGGTACAGTTGTATGCTCTTGTTATAAAGATTCCAGAGAGGATTATGATCAAACAGTGTTTGATCACAGCTGCATCTATCAGGGCCTCAGTGAAACTTTCATTTTTGATGGTAGACATGTGGTGGACATTTTCAAATGTGACGCTTCAGTGAACAATAATGTACGATGTAAAAACCTATTTTGACTTGAGCCAAACATCTCCGTGTTTGCGCAGGTGATTTGTATGTTTGTTTTTGAACGCCGCATTCAGCATCATTGATGGTGGTCTGTAAATACTCGAGTTTTGACCAGACAATGGAGTGAATGACATCATAAGCATCCATCAAACGGGATAAGATGACATGCAATAAACTATGTCAGCGAGCCTTAACACACGATCCATTTAGCCGCCTCCCATAACAATCGTACATTACCGAGGACCAATATCCCTGGTTGCCAGGGGGACATATATGTCCCTCCTCTACAACCCTCACTTTGAAGTTGAATAAAATTCAAAATACATCACCCAAACAGATACACCTAAAGGCGGGTGGGTGGGTTTTGGTTTGGTTTGTTGTTTAACGCCGCACTCAGCAACATTCCAGCTATATGTCGGCGGCCTGTAAAGAATCGAGTCTGGACCGATGGGAAATTCCCCGTT